CTGTTTTATTTTTCTTTTTTTTTTTTTTTTTTTTTTTAGCGATGTTTTAATTTGGGTTTCATGTGCTCTAAAAATATCTTGTCAGAGTATCAAAATAACACTGCAGAACGGCAACCACAGAACTTCAGAGCATGTTTCTAAATAGTCCAATGATATGCAAGTGTTTGTAATCGTGTCAAATTGCTGGGCCTAATGATTTCCACTTGGCTTTTTCTGGAAGGTTTTCTTTCCTAAGATGGGATTCAGGGAGGTAAGAAGGAGAGAACTGCAAAGTCAATGAATGTTGGAGCTGGGAATGATTTTTGGAAAGCAAAAAAATGCATCTAAAATTTGCAGTAATTTCTCACCAAGGACTCATTCTCTCTGCTCTCCTCTCTTCTGGGGCACTGTACTTGTATCCTTCTCCCTCAAGCCCTGATTTGATAGGAATTAATATCAAAATTTTCCAGATTGAGAAAAATCACCTTGCCTCAGACATTCAAAGTGTCCCAAGAGGGCCTGAGACTCAGTTAAAATTTTAGTAGATGTCCCTGACAGTTCTTTTTTTTTTTTTTTTAAGAATTATTTTATTTTATTTATTTTAATTTGACCAGAGAGGGACAGAGAGAGAGACAGAGAGAGAGAGAGAGAGAGAGAGAGAGAGAGAGAGAGAAAGTGAGAAAGCAAACTGCCAGGTCCGGGACTTGAACCACAGTCGGCTCTGTGGAAGTCCAGTGCCCTTAACCAGCATGCCACCTGCTGGCTTCATCCCTGGCATTTCTTATCAGGCAAATTTGGGAAAATACAGGTGTGGTATTTTCCCAAACTTGCTCTTATTTGGGTCTAATTTGATAAATTATGAGCTCTCCACTATTGTGCTAGAGTCAGCTCTGACAGGCTCACCAGGGCTGGTTATTAAATTTTTGGCAATTTTGTTATGTGTTGAACACAGATATGAATGAAGAAGTGATATTGAAGTAGGGACTCAAACAGCAGTATTCTTCACAGTAGCCAAAAGATGGAAACAGCCAAAGTGTCCATCAACAAATGAAAGGATAGAAAAAGTGCTATATCCATACAGTGGAATATTACTCAGCCATAAAGAGGAATGAAATTCTTTGGGCCTGGCCGGTGGTATGGTGGTTGGAGCACTGCACTCCCACATAGCCAACTGTGATTTGAGGCCCCGACCTGGCTGTTTGCTTTCTCACTTTCCCTTTCTCTCTCTGGCCAAGTTGAAAGCTAATAATAATAACAAAAGGAATTAAATAAAAAATTCTTTCAAAAAAAAAAATAAAGAAAAAAAATGAAGGATCAGCAAATGGTGTAATGGTTACATAACTGGGCTCCCACATGGCCGACTGTGGTTCAAATCCCAGACCTGGAGGCTTAAAACTCATGCTGGGTGTGTGTGCATGCATGCCCAAAATCCCGAGAGGAGAGTGGAGAAGGGATTGCAGCATGGCCATCCTCCTTGCGGTGGGGGCGATTCTTGCTTTCTTTCTCTCTGTCTCTCAGGCAAGCACATGTGCCCCATAGGAAAAATCCTTCTTAAAAATTAAAAAAAAAGGAATGAGGAACCAGCAGATGGTGTAATAACTATGTTGCTGGACTCCTATGTAGTTGAAAGTGGTTTGAGTCCCGGACCCGGTGGCTTCAAATCCACACTGGGTATGTGTTTGTACATGCCCAAAATCTTGAGAGGAGAATGGAGGAGAAGGGATTTTGGTGTGGCCATCCCCTTTGGGGATGATTTCTTGCTTTCTGTCTCTCAGGCGAGTGCATGTGCCCTATAGCAAAAATCTTTCTAAAAAGAAAAAAATAGGAATGAAATTCTGATATATGACACAATGTGAATGAATCTTAAAAACATTATACTAAGTAAAATAAGCTAGAACAAGTAGTGCATGAATCAGCTTATAGTAAATATCTAGAGTAGGCAAGTTCATAGGAATAGAAAGTAAAAGAGAAGTTGTCAGGATCTAGGAAGAAGGAATAATGGGTTTAAAGGTTTTTTAGGATGATGGTAATAGGTAAGTGGTGATGATTATGCAACATCGTGAATGTACTTAATGTCACTGAATTATATACTTAAAAATGGTTAAAATGTAAACTTTATTATATATATATTTTACCACAGTTAATAACTTAAATTCTATAAAAAATTTAAATAAAAATTTATAATTAAGGACTGGCAGATGGCAAAATGGTTATGTCGCTGGACTCAGTCAACTGCAGTTGAGTCAGACTAGGAGGCTTAAAACTCATGCTGGGCACGTGTGTGTGTGTACCCAAGATCCTGAGAGGAGAATGGAGGAGAAGGGATCGTAGCATGGCCATCCCCCCTTGGGGTGATTTCTCGCTTTCTGTCTCTCTGTCTCTGTCTTTCTGGCAAGCACATGTGCCCAATAGCAAAAATTTCTCTCTCAAAAACAAATTTACAATTATGTTGAAAATAAAGGATGATCAGCAGATGGTGTAATGATTATGACACTGTACTCCCCCATGGCTGATCATGGTTTGAGATCCAGACCCAGAGGCTTGATACTCATACCAGGCGCATGTGTGTATGTGCCCAAAATCTCAAGAGAAGAATAAAGAAGGGATTGTGGCATGGGTATTCCCACCCCTAGGGGGAGTGATTTCTTGCTTTCTGTTTCTTCGTGTCTCTATGTTTCTTGGGGGAGTGCACACACCCTATAGCAAAACTTTCTCTCTCTCTAAAAAAAGAAATATGGTTTACTTACAAAAAAGTATAAAAACAGGAAAGAAGAGAAAGGAGAGGAATAGGGCCAGCCTGTGGCATGGCAACTGGATCCCACATGGCCCACTCATTATGCAGTTCAAGTCTCAGACCTAGCAGCTTGAGAAACACAACAGGCAGGTGTGTGTGCGTGCCCAAAATCCCAAAAGAAAGAAAAGATGGAGGAGGGATTGACCATTCCCCATGGGGAGTGCTTTCTTGCCTTTTCTTTCTCTTTCTCTCCAGCAAGTGCATGCACCCTTAGGCAGATTTTTTTTTTTTTTTAAAAAGAAGAAAACATAAATAAATACTTGAAACTCAATACTTCCTAATCTTTCTACATTTCTAATTGTCTCTTCTCTTGAGGTTATTTATATCTATTGTATTTCTATAATATAAATTCAGAACTTCAGAAAGTTCACAGAAAATGCAGTTAAAGTACAATTTTATTCTCGTGCAAACATTTTTTTTTTTGAGAGATTTTTGCTACAGGGTGTGTGCACTCTCTGAAGAGACAGAGACAGAAAACAGGAAATCATCCCTAGGGGGGATGACCACACCACAATTCCTTCTCCTCCATTCTCCTCTCAGCATTCTGGGCACACATGCACATGTGCCCAGCATGAGTTTTAAGCTGCAGGTCTGGGGCTCAAACTGTGGTTGACTATGTGGGAGTCTAGTGATGTAATCATCACACCATCTGCTGGTCCCAGGTGCAAACATTTTTTAAAAGTCATGCAGGGGGGGCCAGCAGTTAACGTAATGGCTATGTCACTGGACTCCCATGTAGTCGACCACGGTTTGCGTCCCAGACCGGGTGGCTTAAAACTCACGCAGGGTGCATGTGCGTGCATGCCCAAGATCCCGAGAGGAGAATGGAGGAGAAGGGATCCGGCGTGGTCATCCCCCTGGGGGTGATTTCTTGCTTTCTGTCTCTTTGTCTCTCTCTCTCTCTGTCTGGCGAGCACACGCACCCTATAGCAAAAA